CTGTGCACAAACTTATCTCGTGCCCTCATTGGTCATGTGCGCGTTCGTGTGTGTTGGAGGAGGGGCTCTGTAAGGAAGTGGCAGATTTTTTCCGGCTGTGTATTTTCAAATTCCAGCGCACTCGAGCTGGTTTCTCCAAAATTACCTACCCCACCTTTAATATATATATATAATTTATTTTCTATGCATGCTACTTAGGTAACATTAAGCTGTCTTTGGCTCTGTTCTGCTGTAACAATGTAACTTTCCCCTCTGGTATCAGACATTCTGTTTCTGATTTGGAATTTTATATTTATTTTTAATAATGCATCTTGGACTGAAGTCTTGGATTCCTAAAAGTAAAAAAGCTGCAGAGGATTACTGTTTAACGTACGGCTTTGTGTCTGCAGGAACACGAGGATCTGTTTTTCCGGGCGCTGTGTCTGTGTCACACGGTGCAGGTGAAGGAGGAGGAGACGGTGGAGAGCATCAAGAGGGGCATCCACCAGGGCCGGCCCACCTCCTTCTACATCTCCTCCTCTCCGGATGAGGTGGCGTTGGTGGAGGGCATGAAAAGGTACACACACTAAAACAATTGGCTTCACACGTTGTCAAAGCTATTTCTGGTCAGGATGTGACCCGAGGCACATGTACAGTAAGACACGCGGTGCGACGTGTCAAATCACAGTTTGTTGATCTGCCCTATGGCTTTCACAGATGTAGTAAGTGTATGAGCTGTGATCAGGTTACACTCAATGTGTCACAACACCTTTGAATGTGAGTAAAGTGTATATTGATACTCAGATCTAAATGAATCATTTCTCCCTTTCCCTTCACTCTCGTTGCCAGGCTGGGTTACACCTATCTGAGACTGAAAGACAACTACATGGAGATCCTGAACAAAGACGATGAGATTGAAAGGTTGGTCCTTTAAAGGTCTGCTGTGGTTACGCCGCAGGAGATGAAGTGGGAGTAATTCATTTCATGGAGTTGTGGTCATACATCAGCCCCCTGGAGAGAAAGGGCTCTCGGATTGTGTTACATGTTCAACAGAGCTCACAGAAAAGAAACTACAACCATAAAAGAGTGAGCAGACGGTTGTTTTTAGGAACTGCTCAATCAGATCAAAATGCTCCGACTGATGTTGAAGAATGAAAGGCAGCGAGATCCCATTAGAGAGTGGTTTTGTGGAAAGTGTGTTTTGATCCATAGGGAGTGCTCATGTAAGCAGCTCTCTCTCCATCACTCTCTGCAGTGGCCTGTCAATACTGAGCTATTTTAAGGAAGCAGGGGAGCTGAGAGGGCCG